TCCAAATTTGCTATCGTACAACCGATTGAATCTCGGACAATAACAGATATTAAACCAAAGTTACTACAAGTTTTAAATTTCTTCACGGGAATTAAAACTATTTACTGTGACAACGAACGCTCGTTTAATTTAAATACGATAAAATCTATGCTTTTTAAATCTTTTAATATCAATGTCGAGAACGCTCCACCACTTCACAGTACATCAAATGGTCAAGTAGAGAGATTCCATAGCACTTTAAGTGAGATAGCTCGATGTTTAAAAATTGATAAAGAAATAGATGATACAACGAAACTAATTCTTTTAGTTACAGTTCAATATAATAGAACTATCCATACTTCTACTTATAAAACCCCAGTTAGTATTTTTCATTCCGCACCTACGGGTCTGGATAACATTATTGTAATAAAGAAAGAGTTCCAAAGTCATATAACACGGGTGACACAGTACTAGTAAGAACAAATAGAAGATTAGGTAATAAATTAGCCCCTTTATATTCAGAACAAACCGTAGAAAAGGATTTAGGAACAACAGTTCTAATTAAAGGAAGAGTGGTCCATAAAGACAACCTAAAAAATAAATAATCGATTAAAACTTAAATTAAATTAAAGAAAGGATAAAATTAAAGATACTATATGACCACAGGTACAGAATCTGAGCAATTTACTGCAGGAGTCTTACTGATGTATCACTGATTTAGGATCTCGCAAAATATATGATTAGCTACTTTTATCTCAAAAAATAATGTAATTAATTGATCTTATTAATATTTAATTCATATGTTATACAAATATTGTCATTAAATTTTATTACGATTAGCCTCTTCTATCTCAACAAATAATGTAACTAATTGATCTTGCAATCCTTAGAATTGAATCGAGGACGACTAACACTTAGGAAAGGAAGAGTTATGGAACTCGAACATTCCGAACTTGTCGAAATGTTCGAAAGTCGAATAGTAAGTTTAAGTTTTAGTAATTAAGTCATATTAAGTAAAACTTGTAAACGGTTGGAACAACATCGCCGATCAAAATTATATAATAAACATTTCACTCGCTCTTCTGGACTGAGAATGAGCAAACATAATTTCTATAATATTCTCATAAAATTTTGTAATTGTATACTTAAGAACTCAAAGTACATTCTGCATTTAGTGAGGGGACATCTGTTACATCTAACAATACTAAATAAGAAAAGAGGAGGTCAAAAGAAAAGTAATAAAGTTTTAGTTATAATAAACGTATTCACGCTAATACATGATGTTATTAATAAAGAATTTATAAAGAATACAAAACTTTCATATCCTCATCTTATTAAAATCGTTTTTAGAGCATTTCATTTCCTCTTATTAAATTAAAAGAATAATGCTCTTGCTTTCATACCTGTTATTAATGTGCGATAAGCCTAATTCAAACATATCCAAGTATCTGTCTTAGATTAATGTATTGTGTTAATGTAAGACAATACAAGAATAAATGTAAGAATAAATGAAAAATAATTAATTGTTATATAATTAAACAAGTATCTTGTACCAAACAGTGAGTTAAAATATCCATTTCATTTATGTATGCGAAAATCTTGAAGACTATTGAGTAGATATTTATATACTAAGTTAATAAAATATAAATTAATCAGCATAAACACAATATTTAAAAATGTATGTATTTTATATACCGTTTAATCGTTAAAGCAAATTTCTTCAACAAATTTACTATTTAAAAATATTTAAGTTTATTTATAAATTACTTTAATCATTTATTTTCAACCTCTATGCCACAAAATGAGTTCGTTTTTTAGAATCCGTTTACTTTACAAATACTTATTAACTTAAAAATTATGATTTTAATAACATTTAATTGCTTATACCGACAAATGTAATCTCACGATAATTGATTGTAGAAAATATAAATAAAAATATCTTAAAAACTAGATAATCTTTTACCTTGCAATAGTTGTTATTTTAAGTCAAATAAGTTTATGATGCGCAGCAAACACGATTTTGAATTTATCGCCGCTATTTCAAAACTGCTTTACTGTGATGATTTTATCTCAAACCTTATTTCCTCCTTTACTGACTCATTTAATCCTTAATATTATACTACTATGTTTTCCTATCGTCAGTTTTTATATATCCTTCGTTTAATGTCAATAGCCTCTTTCTTATTCGATTTCAATATATTAATGCCAATAGAATTACAATACAGTCCTCAATCGATAATTACAATATATACTAAATATATAATAGCATATGGTATTAAATCACGCATACAGAAATCATATGAAACTCCAATGTTTTGTAATTATCATATCAAGTATTCAGCAACTGAAATAAATAAATAAATAAAATAACAAACTTTAAACTGTATACCATTTAATACAACCTTATTTATGAAATTTTTTTTTAGAAATGTATACATTTCTTTTAAAGAAAATGATTTCGTTATTAATTTACTAGCTTCTAAGTAGCACAACAACCCACACGTAGATCTATTTGACGTTATTTAACCGTTTCAGTTAAGTTAGAATGCAGCATTACAATTCAGTGATTTTATTCGCATTCCTTTGCATTTATGTTTGAAATAATATCACTTGAAAACACTCGTGTTAGTTGCGAATATTAGCATTCGAATCAAGTCTGTACTATTTTTATTCTACTATAGGAACATTTGACAAGTGCTTATAAGTTTTAAGTGAGGACGACGCCGGCAACACTTATAAAGTTGTAACCATTTTAATATTTTGCGTTTAAATGGGGATGACATCCACACATACAAAATTACATTTCTGATTAATATTCCAGATATATAAAATAATAATGGTGCACATTTTTGAATTTCAGTTGTGGTTGTCATTGAAGCTGTTTTTATTTTGGAAATGTGCATACAATATTTTTTATTTCGTGCTAATCATATGTATGGGGTCATCTGTTTAAAACATCTTGTTTGGTGGACACAAATCTAGACATATCCAAATATTCGCATGTGTTGCATATTAATCAAAATTAATATTATCGTACACAAAACGCACGTTACATCGAATAACGGAACTGTATCCAAGCCACGCTATACAAATGCAACTGCGATGACAGTATCCTGCAAATATCATATTGCAATTATTTAAAAACTAGATTAAAAAGAAATTTATTCCTACCTTTTGATAGATACTTGTATACAAACAATGCTATAACCGAAAGTCCAAACATGTAAAATAACAAAAAATGAAAGCGTGTGATAAATGTGAAGAAAACAATGTTTTGCCGATATTAACAAAAAACTGCAGTCGATGCATTTTGCCGGACGAACTCGAATAAATGTCACAATTGTATGCAATTTGATCGTATTTTGACATATCAAATTCGACCATTCACAATAAGCTAAACAAACATCAGAGCATACCTTTCAATGAATGGAAACTCCGCCCGCTTCGAACGTAATACATATCCACTGCTTACTTAGTAAGTCATATAGTAACATTAAGCTTTTTTGTGTCTTTTGTGTTTCCGTGTTTACATTTTAATTGTTAACAGATGATATTAAATGTTGTATTGTTAGAAGAAAGTAAATGAACATGGAAGAAAACGCAGAAAATTTAAATAATTTAATATAATGTGTAAAAACACGAAAAATTAATATACGAAAATGCAACCATGAGTGTGCAAAAATAGCAAATCGAGCGTTTGACGTTTAAAAGAGGAGTATGGCGAAATACGACGCGGAGAGTGGAGGTTTTTTTTGGTTGCTTTGGAGCGAATGATATAATATAAATATTAAAAACTGCTACTATAAATATAATAAATAAACTAGGTTAAAATCTTAAAAGCTTTGCAAACTGTTTTATTTTTACAATAACTTAACAAATGTTTGTAATATTGTTCATAATATGAAAGCGGCAGTTTCTGCATATACAAAAGAACATACAATACTTTTTAAAAAACTACAAATAGTTAAAAATCAACAAATGATAATGCTTTTTTCAATGATGACTAGAAAAAAAGGAAGTGCTGGCCTTCTGGTAAATACGGGTAGTAATTATTATTATATAAGGAATAAAATTTTACTGAGTTGCTATTTTAGATAAGAATGAAATCCATATGTCGGTTCTGAGAAGACAACAGAGGGCTTCAAAACAAGTTTGAACACTAAATAACCACAATCCAAATAGACAAGAAATAGGGCGATGTTTGAAACAAAATTTCAGTAAGTTTTATTGTACCTAATAGTTAATAATAACACTAATAACTTATATATTATAAATAAAAACAACAAAAAATATATACTTATATATTTTTCATGTAATTACGTTTTTTATGATTATAAAGTTTATAAAAAATTTATAAGTTATTAGTGTTATTATTAACTATTAGGTACAATAAAACTTACTGAAATTTTGTTTCAAACATCGCCCTATTTCTTGTCTATTTGGATTGTGGTTATTTAGTGTTCAAACTTGTTTTGAAGCCCTCTGTTGTCTTCTCAGAACCGACATATGGATTTCATTCTTATCTAAAATAGCAACTCAGTAAAATTTTATTCCTTATATAATAATAATTACTACCCGTATTTACCAGAAGGCCAGCACTTCCTTTTTTTCTAGTCATCATTGAAAAAAGCATTATCATTTGTTGATTTTTAACTATTTGTAGTTTTTTAAAAAGTATTGTATGTTCTTTTGTATATGCAGAAACTGCCGCTTTCATATTATGAACAATATTACAAACATTTGTTAAGTTATTGTAAAAATAAAACAGTTTGCAAAGCTTTTAAGATTTTAACCTAGTTTATTTATTATATTTATAGTAGCAGTTTTTAATATTTATATTATATCATTCGCTCCAAAGCAACCAAAAAAAACCTCCACTCTCCGCGTCGTATTTCGCCATACTCCTCTTTTAAACGTCAAACGCTCGATTTGCTATTTTTGCACACTCATGGTTGCATTTTCGTATATTAATTTTTCGTGTTTTTACACATTATATTAAATTATTTAAATTTTCTGCGTTTTCTTCCATGTTCATTTACTTTCTTCTAACAATACAACATTTAATATCATCTGTTAACAATTAAAATGTAAACACGGAAACACAAAAGACACAAAAAAGCTTAATGTTACTATATGACTTACTAAGTAAGCAGTGGATATGTATTACGTTCGAAGCGGGCGGAGTTTCCATTCATTGAAAGGTATGCTCTGATGTTTGTTTAGCTTATTGTGAATGGTCGAATTTGATATGTCAAAATACGATCAAATTGCATACAATTGTGACATTTATTCGAGTTCGTCCGGCAAAATGCATCGACTGCAGTTTTTTGTTAATATCGGCAAAACATTGTTTTCTTCACATTTATCACACGCTTTCATTTTTTGTTATTTTACATGTTTGGACTTTCGGTTATAGCATTGTTTGTATACAAGTATCTATCAAAAGGTAGGAATAAATTTCTTTTTAATCTAGTTTTTAAATAATTGCAATATGATATTTGCAGGATACTGTCATCGCAGTTGCATTTGTATAGCGTGGCTTGGATACAGTTCCGTTATTCGATGTAACGTGCGTTTTGTGTACGATAATATTAATTTTGATTAATATGCAACACATGCGAATATTTGGATATGTCTAGATTTGTGTCCACCAAACAAGATGTTTTAAACAGATGACCCCATACATATGATTAGCACGAAATAAAAAATATTGTATGCACATTTCCAAAATAAAAACAGCTTCAATGACAACCACAACTGAAATTCAAAAATGTGCACCATTATTATTTTATATATCTGGAATATTAATCAGAAATGTAATTTTGTATGTGTGGATGTCATCCCCATTTAAACGCAAAATATTAAAATGGTTACAACTTTATAAGTGTTGCCGGCGTCGTCCTCACTTAAAACTTATAAGCACTTGTCAAATGTTCCTATAGTAGAATAAAAATAGTACAGAAATGATTCGAATGCTAATATTGTACACAACTAATACGAGTGTTTTCAAGTGATATTATTTCAAAAATAAATGCAAAGGTATGCGAATAAAATCACTGAATTGTAATGCTGCATTCTAACTTAACTGAAACGGTTAAATAACGTCAAATAGATCTACGTGTGGGTTGTTGTGCTACTTAGAAGCTAGTAAATTAATAACGAAATCATTTTCTTTAAAAGAAATGTATACATTTCTAAAAAAAAAATTTCATAAATAAGGTTGTATTAAATGCTATACAGTTTAAAGTTTGTTATTTTATTTATTTATTTATTTCAGTTGCTGAATACTTGATATGATAATTACAAAACATTGGAGTTTCATATGATTTCTGTATGCGTGATTTAATACCATATGCTATTATATATTTAGTATATATTGTAATTATCGATTGAGGACTGTATTGTAATTCTATTGGCATTAATATATTGAAATCGAATAAGAAAGAGGCTATTGACATTAAACGAAGGATATATAAAAACTGACGATAGGAAAACATAGTAGTATAATATTAAAGATTAAATGAGTCAGTAAAGGAGGAAAATAAGGTTTGAGATAAAATCATCACAGTAAAGCAGTTTTGAAATAGCGGCGATAAATTCAAAATCGTGTTTGCTGCGCATCATAAACTTATTTGACTTAAAATAACAACTATTGCAAGGTAAAAGATTATCTAGTTTTTAAGATATTTTTATTTATATTTTCTACAATCAATTATCGTGAGATTACACTTGTCGGTATAAGCAATTAAATGTTATTAAAATCATAATTTTTAAGTTAATAAGTATTTGTAAAGTAAACGGATTCTAAAAAACGAACTCATTTTGTGGCATAGAGGTTGAAAATAAATGATTAAAGTAATTTATAAATAAACTTAAATATTTTTAAATAGTAAATTTGTTGAAGAAATTTGCTTTAACGATTAAACGGTATATAAAATACATACATTTTTAAATATTGTGTTTATGCTGATTAATTTATATTTTATTAACTTAGTATATAAATATCTACTCAATAGTCTTCAAGATTTTCGCATACATAAATGAAATGGATATTTTAACTCACTGTTTGGTACAAGATACTTGTTTAATTATATAACAATTAATTATTTTTCATTTATTCTTACATTTATTCTTGTATTGTCTTACATTAACACAATACATTAATCTAAGACAGATACTTGGATATGTTTGAATTAGGCTTATCGCACATTAATAAGAGGTATGAAAGCAAGAGCATTATTCTTTTAATTTAATAAGAGGAAATGAAATGCTCTAAAAACGATTTTAATAAGATGAGGATATGAAAGTTTTGTATTCTTTATAAATTCTTTATTAATAACATCATGTATTAGCGTGAATACGTTTATTATAACTAAAACTTTATTACTTTTCTTTTGACCTCCTCTTTTCTTATTTAGTATTGTTAGATGTAACAGATGTCCCCTCACTAAATGCAGAATGTACTTTGAGTTCTTAAGTATACAATTACAAAATTTTATGAGAATATTATAGAAATTATGTTTGCTCATTCTCAGTCCAGAAGAGCGAGTGAAATGTTTATTATATAATTTTGATCGGCGATGTTGTTCCAACCGTTTACAAGTTTTACTTAATATGACTTAATTACTAAAACTTAAACTTACTATTCGACTTTCGAACATTTCGACAAGTTCGGAATGTTCGAGTTCCATAACTCTTCCTTTCCTAAGTGTTAGTCGTCCTCGATTCAATTCTAAGGATTGCAAGATCAATTAGTTACATTATTTGTTGAGATAGAAGAGGCTAATCGTAATAAAATTTAATGACAATATTTGTATAACATATGAATTAAATATTAATAAGATCAATTAATTACATTATTTTTTGAGATAAAAGTAGCTAATCATATATTTTGCGAGATCCTAAATCAGTGATACATCAGTAAGACTCCTGCAGTAAATTGCTCAGATTCTGTACCTGTGGTCATATAGTATCTTTAATTTTATCCTTTCTTTAATTTAATTTAAGTTTTAATCGATTATTTATTTTTTAGGTTGTCTTTATGGACCACTCTTCCTTTAATTAGAACTGTTGTTCCTAAATCCTTTTCTACGGTTTGTTCTGAATATAAAGGGGCTAATTTATTACCTAATCTTCTATTTGTTCTTACTAGTACTGTGTCACCCGTGTTATATGACTTTGGAACTCTTTCTTTATTACAATAATGTTATCCAGACCCGTAGGTGCGGAATGAAAAATACTAACTGGGGTTTTATAAGTAGAAGTATGGATAGTTCTATTATATTGAACTGTAACTAAAAGAATTAGTTTCGTTGTATCATCTATTTCTTTATCAATTTTTAAACATCGAGCTATCTCACTTAAAGTGCTATTTAATCTCTCTACTTGACCATTTGATGTACTGTGAAGTGGTGGAGCGTTCTCGACATTGATATTAAAAGATTTAAAAAGCATAGATTTTATCGTATTTAAATTAAACGAGCGTTCGTTGTCACAGTAAATAGTTTTAATTCCCGTGAAGAAATTTAAAACTTGTAGTAACTTTGGTTTAATATCTGTTATTGTCCGAGATTCAATCGGTTGTACGATAGCAAATTTGGAAAATTTATCAACGCATGTTAAATAGTGTTTAGAGTCTGTAGAGTAGATATCGATATGTAGTATCTGACCTAGTTGTGTAGGAATTGGAGTTTCTGAAATAGGATGTTTTATTGGGTGCCTAATATATTTGGCCTTTGAGCATGTTTCACAATTTAGAGCCACCTCTTTGGCTAATTTATTCATCTTTGAGAAAATAATACTGAGTAACTGCTTAACATTTCTTGCGCAGATCTATGTGCCCTATCTTCAGCAGCACCGTTTAACTCCTTTGTAGTTGTGGCATTTTTCATAGTACTACCACTATAAGCCATCATCTGGTCGAAGTGACGCTTAATCACCCTATTAGTTCTTGATATTGTGCAATCATATGTTCGTCGGCCTAAACAAGCAGCAATTATCGCTTCCTGCCATCCTAACTTATTTGGATCTGAAAAATCACAAATAAAAACCGGTGAGCCTTCCGTAAAAACAATATCTCTAGACCCCCGTAGTTTTTAATGTTACTAAGCTGTTTTTTACTCACTCTGCCTTTGAATAAAGGTGGTTTTAATAAATCGAACAGCGGTTTCATCTCTCTACCTAACATAAGTTTAGCTGGAGACTAACCTGTCGTACAATGTTTCACAGAACGATAATAAAATAGAAATCTTTTAAGCACTACGTCTAAACTTCCCTTTTCACCAGAGCTCAAACTTGCTTCAAGAGAAAGGTTCTGACAAAATTTTCGGCTTGCCCATTTGTAGCTGGAAACCCTGAAGGTGTAAGAATCTGTTTGATGCCATTATCTTTTAAAAATTGGTGGAATTCCCATGCTGTAAATTGGGTTCCATTATCGCTTACTATGGCATCCACTAAACCATACCTACAAAATAACTAATTTCTCCACCCTGAACGCCACTGTTATATGCTTAGTTTTAAAAAATTCTACCCATTTGGAGTATGAGTCGACCACGACTAAGAAGTAAACATAACTCACTGGCCCGGCAAAATCAATGTGAATGCGCGACCATACTGAGCTAGGCATTTCCCACGGAATTAATGGGCTTTTCTTTGGACTAGGCTGAACCTTTTTACAAGGAATACAGCTATAGATAGCTGTACTCCATATATCCTTATCTATATTAGTCCACCAAACATAGGACCTAGCCAAAGCCTTTGTCTTTACAATGCCTAAGTGAGATGCATGTAACTCTTTTAAAATACAGTTCTTCAATGTGTGAGGTATTACGCTTCTAAAACCCCATAATATACATCCGCACTCAATTGAAAGCTAATGAACCTTTTTATCAGCCGAGGTTTTGCTCGCCGGATCCAGAGTCGTTACAAGAATATTTCTTATAACCTTGAATCTTTCGAATAATAATTTTAAAGCCGGTTAATTGTTCTTTTATTTATTCTTTATTTATTCTTTTCCCGAAATTAATTTTTACAATATTTATAACTTATTTGCTAACAATATATATTATAATTGCAAATATTAAGAATTATTATAATTCCTGAAATAATAAAAAATTCTAACCAATGGTGGATTTGGAACCAACACTACCGACAAGACTGCGTTGTTAAAGAGTCAGTGTTACCGACTGGGCTACACTGGTGGACTTGGAACCAACGCTACCGACAAGGCTGCGTTGCTAAGGAACAGTGTTACCGATTGGGCTACATTAATGAACTTGGAACCAACGCTACCGACAAGGCTGCGT